CCCACCCCCGCCAACTCCGGCCAGCGAGAAGCAGGACAGCACAAAGGAACACAGGGCAAAGGCCATTCACCAGCCCTCCCTTAAGGAGGGGTCCAACGGCTGACTCACACTTGTGTTTACACCTCTGCCGGCATGTTTATCTAAGGCGGAATTGTTAATCCATCAGAGAAGAAAGGAACTATTGCAGAAGCTATTACTTGGACCCAAGCCTTGAGTTGATTAGGGTTGAACTTTAGGAAGAAGACAACTCACGTCGTTGGTCTCAAAGGAGTCACTTTTTCGACATTTCTCTGAAGTTTCCCACTATCAAATTTTATATTTTCCTGCCTTGAGGGGAAGTGGTCCCATTGGGATGCCTTTTGCTCCCCTCTGCAATTCATATATATCTATTTATATATATATATATATATTTCTTTTTTTTTTTTTTGTCCCTAATCTGTTTTATAAAATTGCTATCTTCCAAAGCTCTTACTTGTATGTTCCAACCCCCAAAGGCGGGCAGGTACACCTGCCTTTGGCTCAGCCACTATTAAGCTCCCCAGCGCGTCGGTGCCTGGCACACGGCGGAGCTCGTTTATTGCTGTTGCTTACTTACATAAACTGGGTTGACTTGAATTGTGCAAAGTACCATGTGAGACATAGGTGAGACACAGGTCTGTTCTCCTACTTGGCTACAGGTAGAGAGACACACAAAACAACGGAAATTAGCAGAATGTTGCACTAATTAGGTGCGAAGTGGGGCCGTCCAAGCCATAGTTGGTAGAAAAGTTCAGTAAGGTTCCTAACTGCAAGGAAGTTCGTAGTAAAGAATTTGGCCAAGTCCAAAAGGAGGTCTGGCCTTTGCGCTTGGCCTCTGGGGAGTAACCTCTGGCACACCTGATGGCAGTGCCTTTGTTTGGGGAGGGGGTGGCATCACATCGGAGCTTCGGGTGGGGCTGTGGGTCACCTGGAGGCTGAGATCAACCACCTGGACTGCCGGTCAGCAACCAATGAATCCTAAGTGATGGAGCCCCGATAAGAAGTCTGACCACAAAGCTCGCGTGAGCGCCCCCGGTTGGCGGCGATGCTCCGTGGGTACCGTGACACGTCAGTGCTGGGAGAATAGCGCCCAGACTCCACAGGCAGAGGACAACAGACCATCCGCCTTTAGAATGCCCCCGGACTCTGCCCTATGTGTCTCTTCCTTTTCTGATTTTACTCTGTATCCTTTCCCGGTGAAAACCTGTTAACTGTGCACATCACAGCTCTCGGTGAGTTCTGCGAGTCCTTCCAGGGAATTATCACCCCGAGGGTGGCCGGGGGAACCCCTGGACTTGCAGTTATTTTCAGAAATGAGGGCCCCAAACTCCATCCAGAAGGGTCCGTGGAGGAGGCTCCACAGGATGTGTGAGATTTGGCTGGGTAGAAAGAAGAGCAGAGAGGAATCCCAAGTTATCAGAGGCCGGAGGCCACACGAAGTGAGGACTCCAGGGACAGGGAAGCAGAAGGCTGTTTTCCTGACTTTGATGATTTCACCTCTCCGGGATGACGTCACGTTCCAGTCCCACCACAGACACACTTAGAGCAAGATAGCGTGAGACTTTGGGGAGAGAATCTCTACATGCTCAGCCCTCATCAGAGCCACAGATCGGCAGCCACTGGGGGACACTAGTCCAAAATCAATCTCAGTTATTCCTCATGATGACAAGTAATCCCTCTGTCTCTTGGGAAATAGGAAAACATTACAAAATAATAAGGGGAAGACAACATTTAACACGTGCCTACTCTGTGCCAGGCACTATTCCAGTGCAAAATACCCAGTAATGAACAAACCTCCCTCAGAAGCTTCTTGCAACATAAAGTCCTAGAAGTCAGGGCTCTCAGGAGGTGTGGCCCAGGTTCTCCCAGCTTTCCTGATGACACAGCACGTGCCCCAGTCACCTGGTGAGCAGGGAGCTGGAACTCGGGTGTTCTGTGGTCCGTCCTGGCATCACATTGCCTCCTGGTGACACTGGACCACTCTGAGCGTGGGCGGGGCTCCATCCCTGAGCTGCGGGGGTGATGCTGCCTGTCAACCGCTGCCACGCCTCCCTTCCCTGAGACTGGAATCCTGCTTCGTGGCAGTGGCCTCCACACCCGAGCAGCTAGTGGGCGACGGCATTCCCAGAGGGGTGGACAACGGCGACAGGCAGGTGGCCGGACTGCTGCTGCCCTTCGAAGGCTTAGGGTCAAGACAGGGATGCAGGGACTTCCCTGGCGGCCCGGTGGCCAAGACTCCGCGCTCCCAATGCAGGGGACGCAGGTTCGATCCCTGGTCAGGAAACTAGGTCCCACGTGACGCAACTAAGACCCGGTGCAGCCAAATAAATAAATATTTTTTAAAAAACAAACAAACTGGGATGCAGTTGAAAGCAGACGTGCACTGGGCCCCTGCTGGGAGCACTACCAAACACCTTATGCCTTTGCTCAGGACCAGTGGACACCACACTTTCCAGGCTCCCTTGCCAGTCACCTGGCTTCTCAATAGGTTTGACAATAGGTGGCTGTGATGGGAGACTGAAGGCAGAGGAGGGGAAAACCAGTGCCTTTCCTGCTCCCTCCACCTCGGGCAGCACCTCCGTCAGCAGCTAAATGTTCTCCGTGACTCCAGTCACTGCCCTTGTTCCCACCATCACCCCGTCTCTAGACTCCGATGTCCCACCCTAGAGGTGACAGTGGCTTCTCCAGTCCCTGATCGTCCCCTTGTTCCCTGCTGGGCCTCTCAGCTCTTCCCATCAATGGGGTAAGCAATTCTCTGTATTAAATTCCCTCTGAAATCCCTGGTGGTTTCTGTTTTCCTAGCTGGCCCTGACTGTTCGATGGCTAACGTAGCACCTGGCCATCGGGGAACTTACAATAGGTTAGAGAATCAAGAATTAAATATATGCAAAATGCTAGTAAAATAAAATGTAGAAATTCTGTACATATGCTAAAAATGACTAAATTGTACATTTTAAATGGGTAGGTTTTATAGTATGTAAATTATGCCTCAATAAAGTTGTTTTAAAATATCCAGGAAAAGATGAAGTAAAATGGAGGGTGAGTAGATGAGACAAGTGATCCCCACACAGCCCTTATCACAGCCCCCTGACAAAAAGAAACAAAATCTGAGTACGCGCTGCCAGTGTTTGTGGGCTTCCTTAAATTGTATACGTGTCAAACTCTGTTAACGTATGTTACCTTATAAAATAGCTACAAGATAGACATTTAAACAGAGAGAGAAACGTAACTAGAAATTCTGGCGATGTCTTGCTTAACCTCAGTGGATCATCTCACACATCTCCTGGGATGCCTACACCCCACTGTGAACCCAGAGACCGCTGATGCAGGCAGTCAGCACAGAGATATCTGCAAGGGACTTCCAGAGCAAGGAAAAACGATGGGGGACCCCTTCCCTCCTGCCTTCCTTTCTGAAGGGGCCTAGATTAGGCTAATGCCTCAATAACAGCCACCACTTTATGACCCTCTTCTGACATTTACACATCGCTTTACAGTTTTAGAATGTAAAGTTTCTCACGTAGGTTATCTCACTTACTCGCCCAAGTCAAGAGAAGAGGGTCAAATAGGAGACAGACTGGGGAAATCTCGAATGCCTGACCAAGAGGAGTTTGGACTAGATCCCAAGAGCGGTGCTGCCACATCAGATGTATCGGGTTACAGAGGGGGGCGGGTGTCGACAGTCCAGAGTCCCCCAAATAGCTGACTTCCTCTTTCAGGGTAGAGGCCCTGAGAGAACCTCAGGGAGCAATACTTATTCCCGTGGGCCTGGCTCTGAGGGAGGTGCCCAGAAGGCGGCAGCGAGCTCCCCACTCGGGGGCTCCCCTTTCAGCACTTCAGGCCCGAGAACTAGGCTTAGCCAACAGCCATCCTACCCTTCCTCTCACACTGCTTTTCCATCCACGTGACCATTATTGGTAAATCCAGTTTCCAAAAGGACGCCTTGGTACCTGTACGTGGGCCTCCCAGCCAGGGGCGAGTGTGCAGCTCACTCCAGGGTACCTTCCCATCTCTCTTGCTCTTGAGCTCAGCAGGCCATGTTCTCCATCCCATATTCAGCTCCCTCCCGGGGGACACGGCAGGACTTTGTCCTGGTCCCTCCCTCTCCCTTTCTCCCTGTCCCGTCCCCCAGCTGAGCTGTCTGTCCTGTCGCGGCTGGCAGGACAGTGCTCTGAAAAGCCTGAAGCCAGCTCTGCAGGGGGCTCCCCAGGGTGCGGAAGAGGTAGCCAAGGAAGCACAGGAAGTAGCTGTGTTATCTAGTGCTGAGGTTCATGTCCTTTTCCTACTGAAAAACCTTCAGCGACTCTCCTTTGACCAAAGTCCTAAGTGGGGCCCTTAATGGCCCTTGTCCACGGAGAGGTGACAGCCACCTGCCAGGTGGGGAGCGGAGAGGCCCGTGTCCTCCCAGTAGCGGGTGGGTGTTGCCGGGACCTGAGCCGGCAGAGATGGCCATCTATGTGTAAGACTGAATAATATCTTCAAACAGAAGGCAGACCATGGCCTTGGCCTCAGCTCAGCAGGTGGCAGGGGGAGGGAGCAGTAAGGCTTGGAGTCACCTGCAGAGGCCTCTGCCCCTGAGGGTGCCCGGCGGGATGGGGCTGCGGTGCTCCCCAGGGCTGAAACCTCTCTGCTCTACAGTCAGCAAACCTGGGTCAAATCCATCCCTCACGACCTTGCAACAAACAGGCTACTTAACTTCATCCATCGAGGCTCCTTCACACCTGTCTGAGGTTAAATGAAGCAACTCCCGTACTTTTATCAACGCGCCGTTCCTCTGACTCTTACAAAGACACGTGTCCCTCTGCCCTGCGTCCGAGCTCGTGGGTACCACACCTGTCCCCAGCTCATGGACAGAGTCGTGTCTCGCTGATGTCTGCTCCCTCTCCGGCCACGAGCCAAAGCCCCCAGAGCGCAGTGTTTCATCCGGATGCCGCTGCCTCCCCCCTGCCCCCCACACCTACCGGAGCCCCAGGGGAAGCCTGTACCGGGTTAGAAATGGTTTCCAGGTTGTGCTTCTTCCTTCCAGGGATTTCCCAGATGACCCCGGCGTGTGGTGGGACACTGAACGGGTGGCCGACGTCCTCCTCCGGCACGTAGAGGCCAGCCGCATCAACCTGGTAAGGGGATGCCTTCCGCTCGAAGCAGAGGCCCAGCTGCGTCTGCCTGAAACCCACCGAGGAAAACACACACCTTTCCTGAGTAACTGAAATCCCAGCGCTCAGACACAGGCAGAGATTTTTCCAAAGTGCGCCCTCTTCACCCACCCACTCCCACCCTGTGCTGCCACCTGAAACCTCAGGACCCCACGAGCCTGTGCCACGACCCGCTGGCACAGAGCTTTCTACCAAGCGTTTTAGTTTTAAGGTATCATTGTATCTTTGGAGGTAAGTGTTGTTATAATGCTCACCTTACACTGAGGAAGTTGAGGCCCCCAGAAGCCCGCAGCTGCCCAGGGTCGCCAAGTGTGAAGCTAGGATTTTAAGCCTGGAGTCCTCACTCCAGAAACTGCGAGGATACATTCACAGCCCCTGCAGGGAGAACACTCTGGTCACGATTAGAGCTCTAGTGGGCATTCAATTCACCTGCAGAGGCGGACGGCCCAGCCACACCCACCTCGACTCTCGGCCCCGCCGGCCCAGGCCCCGCCAGCGGTCGATCTTACGCTCCAAGAAGGTGTCCACCTTTAAAGTAAGAACGCTAACCCTTCAGGAGTTAAGACCTAAATCCTACCATTCAGACCCAGCCACTTGCTTTGAGTTTTGATGAAGCCTCGTTGAAAGATGGTCCCTGCTGTTAAGCTTTTATCGGTGATGAGTTCTCCAGGTGAACGGATTTCTTAGACCTTTGTTAAGAGCAGATTTTCGTGGATATATTAGACCGTCTTGGAGCTCTAATGACAGAAATGCAGCGGGAACTTCGTCCACATGGGCCAAAGGGGCACCTAACTGGCTGGCTCTGACCCACGCAAGGCGGAGGTGCAGGGCTCTGCGCTGGCTTCCCTCTTTGTTCTGGCTGGAAATATGGTCACCAGAGCCGCAAGCCCACCCCTCCCAGCTGTACTTCCCACAGGGTCTGAGGGTCACAGCTGGAGGGTTCACCGCCCGGGCCTGCTGCCTGGCCTGGGCCCCCTTGCCCGCCACCCCCCACGCCATGCTCAGAACCTCTCAGGGCCCCAAGCCTGGCAGGGGGGCAGAGCTGGTCCTCCGGGCTGGCCTGGGGTACAGGGCGGGGCCTGTGAGGTGGGCACAGTGGCCCTCGGCACCCCGGCTTCCCCAGGACCGGTCCCCAAACTCTCCCCTCCCACGCTTTGGTGCATGGGAACGGCTGGTTTCCCAGTAACTCCTGCTTGTAGGATAAACTCCCATCTTTGTGAACTTGGCCGTCTCTGACCTGGACCTTCCTTCGGTGCTCTTCGCTGATGAACAGGGTTGGTCCTTACTGAGGGGCCGGGTTGTTGTTTAGACCATGTTGCAGCCATGGCCCTGAACATCCAGGGAGGAGCTTCAGGGCACAGACGCTCTGCGTGCCTTTCCTGCTCTCAGAAGAGCCTCCCAAGTTTGTGTCCCAGAAAAGTGATTTGTGGTCCAGGCCCGGCTTAAGACCGCCTTCTCCAAGAAGCTTTCCCTGACTTCTTCAGCCCTCTTTGGGACAGCATTTGTCGTGTGTCCTGCACCTGTGACATGAGTTGCTGTTTATCCTCTAAAGTACAGACCATGTCCTGTGAGCCACTATCTTCAAGAAGCGAGAGCAACCCCACTATTCCCTCTTGTTTACTGGGGTCTGGGTAAGACTTCATTTGCCCAGAGATTTGTGCAGTTTAGCGGGGAAGGTGGATGGAGTTCTGCAAAGAACCGCAGACGCCACTGCTGTCAGGTCCTAACCTGCACGAGTCCAGGACTAGAGGCAGATCAGCTCAGCCCTCCTCGAAGCAGGAAGAGAGGGGGCTTATCAGAAGGTATAGGATGAAGAGAAACAAGGCCCTGAGGAATTTCAGAAGTGATGGAGCCAACGTGCAGTGGCCCCAAGTTCCCAGACCAGGGAGTGCACCCCAGCTCACCAGTGACAGCCCGGCCCCGGCATCACCTCCACCCGAGGGCAGCGGACACTCGGCCTTGACTGCCGTCCAGGTCCTACACTCCCACATGGCTTCACTTGACCTTCACCTCGACCCAGAGAGGAAAGGCGGGCAGGCCTCACTCTTCCCATCTCACAGATGAGGAGACCAAGACACTGAAAGTTGACATCACTCCCAGGGTGACATGCTGCGACATGCCTGAGGGGCGGGGGCAGCTAGCGTCAGAGGTGGGAGTGGACACAGGGCCCACACTGGGCTGCGGGGAAGGGTGGGCTCAGAACAGGGTACCTGAGTTCTGGGGTGAACCTTTTTTAATACAGTATATTTTTTAGAGCAGTTTTAGGTTCGCAGCAGAATTGAGCAGAAAGGACATACATATACCCCCCGAGCCTACAATGTGTTACAGTGAGTGAACCAGCGCTGACACAGTATCATCACCCCAAGTCCTGGTTCACATTAGGGTTCAGTTCTGGTGCTGCATGTCCTGTGGGTTTTGACAAATGTATGACACGTATCCACCATAATGTGATTAGCTTATATGCCTTTTAAAAAAAAATTTCGGGACTTCCCTGGTGGCGCAGTGGTTAAGAATCCACCTGCCAATGCAGGGGACACGGGCTCGAGCCCTGGTCCGGGAAGATCCCACATGCCACGGAGCAACTAGGCCTGTGCACCACAAGTACTGAGCCAGTACTCTAGAGCCCACGAGCCACAACTACTGAGCCACAACTACTGAGCCTATGCTCTAGAGCCCGCGAGCCACAACTACTGAGCCTGTGCTCTAGAGCCCGTGAGCCACAACTACTGAAGCCTGCGCGCCTAGAGCCCATGCTCTGCAATAAGAGAAGCCACCTCAGTGAGAAGCCCGCACACCGCAACGAAGAGTAGCCCCCACTCACCTCAACTAGAGAAAGCCCACGTGCAGCAACGAAGGCCCAACACAGCCAAAAATAAATAAAATAAATAAATTTATTAAAAAAAAGAAAAAGAGCGAACAGTCAAACCCACAGTCACGGTCTCCACACAGTCGGCCGAGCAATGGTCACACCCCCGACCCGCTCCCACGTCAGTTCAGATACACTCAGAACGTGAACAGGCACAGGGTCTGGGGCCTCCTGTCCTTCCCGGGCCGCGGGGACGAGGCGGGAGAGACAGGTTCGGCCCGGAGTGAAAGCCTGTGTGTCTCTGCAGGTGGTGACCTTTGACGCGGGGGGTGTGAGCGGCCACAGCAACCACGTGGCTCTGTATGCGGCTGCCAGGTAGGGCGCTCTGGTTTCCCCGTCACTGTCCCCCCTCGGGCCATCAGAGAGCCATGCTCTCTCACCACCTGCTTCCGGGGGCAGTCGCCCTCGGGTCCTGGTATTATGGTCTCGTCTCCTGAACAGCTGAGTTTCCCCACCCCCGGATACGCCAAGTGGGGGGACGGATTTGATCTATCCCTCCGCTTTGGCCACAGAAAGCTTTAGGGCCGAATCTCAGCTCCTTGTAGCGCACGCACAAGACTAAGGACTGAGCTCTGGGGATTGGCGGCCCTCCTGGCTGCACCCTCTTTCCCTCCTCTAACCCCAGCTTGTTTGCTCTCTCCTGCTGTGTATTCTGTGCACAATTTCAGATCTTGCTTTGGAGAAGGAGGATGTGCATGTCATAGGAAACCTTACTTGCCCTTTGCAGCCTCTCCATGTGACTGACACGCACCTGCATTTCACCAGTAAAAACCCGATCCTCACACATCTTGAGGGATTTCCTCGGGGTCACGGAGACCTAGAGCGCGTGTCCTGATCTCTAGAGCCGTGCTCCCCCTGGGCCCGTAAGCAGCTTGCTGGACGGGCCTGGGGAAGGAGGGGGCAGCCTGACGTGAATGACTGATTTTATGACCCTCTTCGAAACGCGCCCAACGCTTTTCAGGGCTTGCAGTGCCGTTTCCAGGCGCATCTCCAGGGCCCCTCCCTCCTCCACTTAGATGCTGCCTCCCAGCTCTTTCCCTGGAGATCATCCCCAGGGCTGTACCCAGAGCGCAGGACAAGTGGCCTCTGACCTCAGGGTTTTCTATTCCTCAGGCTCTGCAGGTGTGTGTGTGTGTGTGTGTGTGTGTGTGTGTGTGTGTGTGTGTGTGTGGCCTGTAAGTTCATCCGTTCCCTCAGGCTCTGCGGGGGTGTGTGTGTGTGTGTGTGTGTGTGTGTGTGAGGCCTGTGTGTTCACGCTCTCTCAGTCTCTGTGTGTGTGTGTGTGTGTGTGTGTGTGTGTGTGTGTGTGTGTGTGTCAGGCCTGTAAGTTCATCCGTTCCCTCAGGCTCTGCGGGTGTGTGTGTGTGTGTGTGTGTGTGAGGCCTGTAAGTTCATCCGTTCCCTCAGGCTCTGCGGGTGTGTGTGTGTGTGTGTGTGTGTGTGTGTGTGAGGCCTGTAAGTTCATCCGTTCCCTCAGGCTCTGCGGGTGTGTGTGTGTGCGTGTGTGTGTCAGGCCTGTAAGTTCATCCGTTCCCTCAGGCTCTGCGGGTGTGTGTGTGTGCATGTGTGTGTCAGGCCTGTAAGTTCATCCGTTCTCAGGCTCTGCGGGGGTGTGTGTGTGTGTGTGTGTCAGGCCTGTAAGTTCATCCGTTCTCAGGCTCTGTGGGTGTGTGTGTGTGTGTGTGTGTGTGTGTGTGTGTGTGTGTGTGAGGCCTGTAAGTTCATCCGTTTCCTCCCAGCTTCTCATCTTTAACTCCTGCTCTGGGGAATCCCTTCCAGATGAGTGCGTATGTCTGTGTGTTGGTGGATGAGTGCGTGTGTCTGTGTGTTGGTGCGGGGAGGGGACTCCCCATGCCTCCATCCCTCAGCTTTCAAAACAACAAGTTCATTGCTGGTGGACCCACCTCACCCCTCCTCTTAAGGCAGTGAGCACAGAAGGGCCTCTACGGTCAGAAGGGGTGGGGCAGGGTGTCAAATAGGAGAAAGGGGCATCAGAGAGGAAACACCAATTAACATTTTCAATATTCTCCACCACTCTCACATCTCAATTTCAAAAGAGAAAAACTTCACAGAGTCCACTGTCCTTACCTTCCTATCTGTTGGGCAAAGCTTGGACCAGGGCACTTCATAAGCCACTGGCCACCTCCGGATCGGCTGACCTTGGGTAAGGGACCCACCCTGGCCCCTTCAGCTGTAGCCAAAGGTGTGGAATCCAGGGAATCTATATGGTGACTTGTGCTCAAGAAACTGCCTAGAAACCAACAGTGGAGGGACCCCAGGGTGGGGCAGGCGTGGCCCTGAAAGCCCTGCCTGTTAGCTGCAGAGGGATGCTCACTGTCACCTGTCCTTTCCCTCCTCCAGGACCCTGCACGCACAAGGGAAGTTACCTAAAGGTAAGGCCTGTCCCTCCTGTAAAAGGTCACCGTTACCATCCCTCTAGGGTGAAACTGGTAAGTATACAGAGAGCTGCCCTCAGCCAGGCCGGGCAGGGCGGGGGTCGGGGGATGCAGGCCCACACTCTCCTGACTCAGCTCAGCGTGCCTGTCACGGCGGGTCCCCAGGTCTCGAAATCAGGTTGTATCCACTGGGAAGTATCCTCCGGGTGTGAGGGAGGAGCGTGCAGTCGGGGTTCTCCAGAGAAACAGAACCAAACAGGACACACAGATAGATAGCTATGGTGGTATGTGCACTTATATACATACATATAAAATAAGGAATTGGCTCACATGATTACGGAGGCTGAGAGATCTCGGGATCCACCGTCGGCAAGCCAGGGGCCCAGGAGAGCTGGGGCATCACTCAGCCTGAGTCCAGAGGCCTGAGAACGGGGGAGCCGAGGGTGTGGATCTCAGTCTTGGGGCAGAAGACCGATGTCCTGCTCTGCAGTCAGACAGACAGGAATGGATCCTCCCTTCCTCCACCTTCTGTTCTGTCCGGGCCCTCAATGGATTGGGTGAGGCCCACCCATGCTGGGGAAGCCTTCTGCTTTACCAAGTCATCCAATTCAAACGTGAAACACAGACACACCCAGAAACAACGTTTAGCCAAGTATCTGAGCACCCAGGACCCAGTCGGGTTGACACAGGACGTTAACCTCCTCCGTAGGCCTTGCCCCTCACCTGCCTGGTTTCTCCCTGGCCAGGTCTGTTCCGCCTCTGGTATCCTTTCAGGATGTCCACCGAAACTCACACCCATCCCCCAGTTAACTGGCCAGGCTGTGGGTGACGCATGGGTGCTGGACGGGTCTGAAACTCTTCCCAACTCACAGGAAGGCGTCTGACCCGCTTGGCCAGCTTCTGTGCGACACCCCCTAACCTCCCTGAGCTGGTTTCTGTCACGATGTGCACCCTCACAGGAGAACCCTGGGGATGGAATGATGGCCTTTCTGGCTGGCAGTGCCACGGGGGCTTCGGAACATGACCCTAGTGTGTTTGATCCTTGTATCAACCCTGGGAAACAGGCCGGTCCCACACTCATGACCAACACCATCATACAGATGGGGAAACTGAGGCTCAGAGAGGTGAAAGGACTTCCCCAAGCCCATCAGTTCTTTAGTGACGAGCAGGAACCAGGTCTCTGGCCTCCCAGGACAGAAATCCTATCTGCATCCCCTCTCCCTGGGCCTCGACCCCAGCCTCTAGCAGCCGACCCTTCCCTGCTGGGGGCACAGAGCAGGTAGAGGGCAGCCGTCAGGTGTTCTGGGGCCCTTTCACCCTTCTTATCTGTGAGAATGATGGGCAAAGAGCAGCTCTGCTGACACTGCCCTGCCCTGAGCCCGGAGCAAGGGGTGGGCACCCAGGAAAATCTGCCTGAGGCAGCAAGTCTCCGCTCTGCCCGCCCCCCAGGGTGCTCAGTGCTCACGCTTCAGTCTGTGAACCTGCTGCGCAAGTACCTGTCGCTGCTGGACCTGCCCTGCTCCCTGCTGTGTGCCCGCGATGCCCTCTTCGTGCTCAGTCGCCGAGAGGCGGCCCAGGCCCAGGTGAGGACCGCCCCGCCACCCCTGCGCTCCCCCCCAGGTCTGCGCCCCGTCCCTGGCTCTTCAAAGCCCCTCACCGAGGCCTTCCACAGCAGTTCTGTCCCCAGAGCTGGCCCGCAGCCAGACCCTGGGAGCCGCAGACCAGGGACTTGCACATTTTCTTCTGATTATAGAAATAATATGTGCTGGAAAAAAGGCAATTAACAATACAGGCTCAGTGTAGAAAATCTGGAAATACAGAAAAGAAGAAACCCCACTGCCTGCAAGCCCACCCCTCAGGGGTAGCCACTCTTGACAGTATATACGCCCTCCATAAAGAGTATTCATGCACAGGCATTTAGAGCGGGGGACACAGAGCCTGCTTATTGGAAACCTACTTTAGCAACATCACGACCATTTTCTCCAGGGTTATTAGGTGTTCACATTGTAATGTCTGCCTGTGTTCCATGGCATGGGCGCACCATAAAATAGGTCACACACCCCTTACGGCTGGACATCTCGACTTACCGGTTTTTCCCTGCTACATGTGGACCAGTGCTCCCAGCTTGAGCCAAGAGGAACTCAGACCTGCCAGGAGCCTCTGTAAAGAGCCACTGGGGCTGACCACGGGTTGCCGGCTGAGGAGTCAGGCCCGGCGAGGCCCTCCTGGTGAAGACTCTTGGTGGTCGGTGGGGCAGGTGGTCTGAGAGGCTGCTGAGGAGTTCTAGCCTTGACCCTTTCCATTTCTGCTATCCAAGTGGAAAGGTTCAAAGGCTAGAACCCATGTTGAGCCGTTAAATGACATAGGTGTGTAAATGGCTATCATTTTCTGGGAAGCAACAGTAGTAAATATCAGAAGTCTTCCCAGAAGTTGTACTTACCTTCTGAAGTTCTTAATACGTTAAGTAGACACAAGCGGGTTGCAGAGCAATATATCAATAAATCTATACTTTCTCTGACCCACTAATTTTTATTTCCAGAATTTTATCCTAAAGAAATAAAGTTGTGTCCAGAGACTGATGTACAAGAATGTTCACTAGTATGATTTATGAGGCCCAAAAAAGGAGCTAAGATTATTTAGCAGGTGAATGGTATGGTACTATATAATCAGAAAAATCATAGTTTTGAAACACACGTAGTGAAAATGTTCCAAAAGTAGGGAGGAAATAGAAACAATTTTGATATTTTGCAGTATTCCTTTGAAATTTTTGAACGAAAAGTAATAGGAAGAAAAGCTTGTAAAAAGCCAAACTGGCCATAAATATATAATTACTGTAAGCGCCCATCTTATTGAGTGGGTGCTGCAGCCACTGAAAGACGAGGGAATCTACAAAATTGGCCACCTGGGCAGCAGGATGTGGGAAGCCCCTGTGACTCGGAATCTCTCACAAGTAGACAAGTGTGTTTGGACCACAGAGTTCCTATCTTCCCTCAACGTTTTTCTAAAATGAGCCTTTTATTCTCACTATGGTCTTCAAAACTGAAATATTATTCTGTGAGTTCACACATCCATTTTGTTTCTGAAAGTCATTTTTATTTAAAAATTTTAGTTGTACTTCCTGTTGAAACCATGCTATGTAATATTTTGCCTGAATATGGTGATAATTCTCTTTATCAACTTAAAGCTTGCAGGCATCACAGGGGTGTTTACATCCCTAAGCCACGGATGTTCCAATAGTGAATATAAAATGAGTTTTTTACGTAGAGGTTTGCAATGATATTAGCTTAGATTATAAGCATTAATTATGGTACTTAGAGAAAAACAGGAACCATTTATATAGGTTACATCTAGTTAAATCAGTTGTTATGATCTATTCTGTTTAAAGACTGAGCTACACTGGATCTGAATAACAGGATAACGTTTCCCCCACTGCATGGCAGGGAGAGCCAGTACATATGGGTACTATTCCTTTTCTTCTTCTTCTAAGAGTGACTGTAATTACCCAGCTTGGCTAATCCATAGGCGTCTGGGCACAAAACAGCCCTATACGAGTTATATATGCAGGGTAGTGGAGCCAGGGATTAAGAATGTAGGCTCCACAGTCAACCAGATGGCTCTGGGTTCGATCTCAGCTTTACTCCCTACTTGCTATTTGAGACTGATGAATCAGTTTCCTCATCTGTTAAAAAAAAAAAAAAAAGCAATAATAATAGTCCTTTACTCACAGGGTTGTTAAACTGAGGTAGTGCTCGGCTGCATCAGCATCCTCTGCTGTTATCCCATCGGGTATCAGGAGACGGGAGGGGGAGTCCAATCCAGAGGGGTTCGAAGGGCACAGCAGAAGCCAGATCAGGCCATAGCTTGCAGTATGTGGGTGGGAGGAGGCCTGAAGGAGAGGAAGCAGAGTGAAAACAACCAACCACCGGCGCCAGCACTCACGACCGGTCCTCTGATTCTTCCAGAGAGCCATGTCCTGCCACCGCAGCCAGCTGCTCTGGTTCCGCCACCTCTACGTGCTCTTCTCCCGGTACATGAGAATCAACTCTCTGCACTTCCTCTGAGCCAGGAAGGGCTCTCAGACCCAAGGAACAGAGAGAAAAATGGCCAGGGAGCCCAGGGTGTGTCTGGAGCGGCTCATCTCCCTGAGACAAGGAGATCCCAGCATAAGACTGAGTCCCGGCCCCTCTCCTCCAAGCTGCCTGGCCTCTAAGGAAAGGGAGGCCCTGCAGGCCACCGGGCTGTCCAGAATTGAGCTTCTTCCTGTGGGCAGCAAATCCACAACCACCGGAACACACACCACCCGAGGACAACAGCCACCCTGCTGGCTTCTCAAGCTCTTGTGCAAGACAGTTTACATAAAGCACAATGTATGTCAACCCCCTAACACAGACACGCAATTGTCGTAAATGAATGTAAAGTGCTCTGAAATCCCTTCTTAAATGCAATGTATTTTTACGTTGTTTCCAAAGCAGCCTCATCAGACATAAACACACACAAAAGAATGGTCTAGGGCTTCCTTGGTGGTGCAGTGGTTAGGAATCCGCCTGCCAATGCAGGGGACGCAGGTTCGAGCCCTGGTCCGGGAAGATCCCACATGCCGCGGAGCAACAAAGTCCGTGCGCCATACCTACTGAGCCTGTGCTCTGGAGCCCATGCGTCTAGAGCCCGTGCTCCACAACAAGAGAAGCCACTGCAATGAGAAGCCCGCGCAGCGCAGCAAAAAGTGGCCCCCGCTCGCCTCAACTAGAGAAAAGCCCAGTGCAGCAACAAAGACCCAGTGCAGACAAATTAATTAATTAAATAAATTAATTAATTTAAAAGAAGAAGAATGCTCTATACTGAATTAGTTCAACCATAATTCCTTGGATTTATCTTCGTGGCCTACATATCAGATTTGAATCTAGGGAAGACATGTCCGTTTAACGGCATACAATCAAATATCTCACTATCAGTCTTTTGGGAGAAGCAGGAAATAGGAAGAGAGATCTGGAGCTTAACACTCAGGAACCTATGTCCTAAAATGGTGCTACAAATAAAAGGGCAGCAAGGGGTCTGGCTTGGAAGCTATTCCGAGTCCAGCTGGTGGTCCAGGAAGTGGCCCAAAGAGGGGAAGCTCCAATTCAGAAAGAGAGAAGACAAATGTGCCGTTACTGGGAACAGAATGGATAGGACAGCCACAAAAATGGAAGAGACTGGGAAAACTATAGGAGTCCTGCACAGTCCAGGACAACAAAACTGAAAATCGAAAGGAAATGGATGACTTCCGAGTACATGTTGGACCACCGCCAGACCCTACCATAATGTCACAGATAGGGTCCAAACACTTCAATCCCATAAAATGCAGGGTTGCATCACTGCAAGATGAGTGACAACCAGTTTTTTTAATCTTCCCAGGACTCAGCATCAAGCTAGTGCACCCAAGACCTGAAGGAGGTCAGCGTTCCTGGGCAGGTGGCTGTCCTGCTTTCTTGGCCGCGTCTAGGAGTGAGGGAGGGACACCTGTGCAGCAAGATGCTCGCGACCAAAGGCATGGCAGCAGTGGGGAGAGGCAGAGGAGCCAGGCTCTGCAAGGGGCTGGACCCCCAATGGACTGAGGCTGGCGTGGTGGCTGTCTCCGTCCACTGGAGAGCTGCACACTGCTGCTTTTGTTGAGCCCTTGCAAAGTAAAAAACGCTCTCCTTAAACTGAGAGAGTCCCATCTGGGGGTCGCCTCCAAACCCCCTTCCACACCCACACCCCCAGTACAGCTTTGGCCACCCACATTTGAGAATAGGAACTAGGGAACAAGAACTGGATTATATCCAATGGTGGGCACCTTATTAATGGGACTTTACATGAATACAATTGACTTAAAAAGTGAAAGGGAACAGACCCAATAACCACAGAAGAAATTAGAAAGGTAATTAGAACAGATTTTTTAAAGATTCCTAGTCTAGATGGTTTTGCAGCTATCTAAAAATAATTCCAATATTATTTAGAGCATAAAATAGAAAAGTACTCCAATTCACAGACAAGATAACAAAACATGAAATAGCACCAAAAAAACCCCTGACAATTTTATTTGTGAATATAGATGCAAAAGTATAAAAGAAAATATTAGCAAACTGAATCCAGCAGTGCATCAAAAGAATTACGACTCCATGACCAAGCAGGGTATTATTCCAGAGTGTAAGAATGGTTCCACTTTGGGGAATCCATCAACATAATTCATTACATCAACAAATTAAGAAGAAAAACCATATTCTACGCACAGGCGCCGAAAGATAACAAAATTCAGTCACTATGCCTAATAACAACCTTCAAGAAAAATAGGAAAAAAGAATAGAGTAAATATAATACAGACTGTTTACCAAAATCTAGCACCTAAAACCAAGTGGACAAGGTAGAAAGGTAAGCTGCCACCGTCGTGATTATCAAGGTTGCTCTGAAGGGTGAAGCTGACGAAGTAGGACAGAACAAGAAAATAACTGATATAAGTATTAGAAGAGACAGCTGTGTTTAGAAACCCAAGAGATGTCCATAAAATCTACTAAATGAGGGAATCTGGTAAGGCAGCTGGATAATAGGTATCTTTACAAAAATAAATAGACTGTCTTTAATTGGCAATAATGTGACAGAAATGAAAACGGGGGAAAAAATCCCATTCTCATCAACTTCAAGAACTATAAAATACCTAGGAATAAGCTCAACATAAAAGATATAAGATCTGTCTAAATTTTTTTTTTTTTTTTGCGGTACGCGGGCCTCTCACTGTTGAGGCCTCTCCCGTTGCGGAGCACAGGCTCTGGACGCGCAGGCTCAGCGGCCATGGCTCACGGGCCCAGCCGCTCCACGGCATGTGGGATCCTCCCAGACTGAGGCACGAACCCGGGTCCCCTGCATCGGCAGGCGGACTCTCAACCACTGCGCCACCAGGGAAGCCCCGATCTGTATAATTTTATAATCACTATTAAAATTCCAGCTATCTTTTTTGCAGAAACTGACAAATTGATCCTAAAACAATATGGAATTGCAAGAGCCTCAGAAGCCAAACCATCTTAAAAAAAGAACCAAGTTGTAAGACTCACATGCCCCAATTTTAAAAGCTACTACAAAGATCTAAATTTAAGAGCTAAAACTAGAACTCTTAGAAGAAAACACAAATGTTAATCTTTGTGACCTTGGATTAGGCAACAGTTTCTTAAATATGATACCAACAGCACAAGCAACAAAAGAAAAAATAGAAACCTTTGTACATCAAAAGACACTATCAAGAAAGTGAAATGGAGGCTTCCCTGGTGGCACAGTGGTTAAGAGTCCGTTTGCCAATGCAGGAGACACGGGTTTGAGCCCTGGTCCGGGAAGATCCCACATGCCACGGAGCAACTAAGCCTGTGTGCCACAACTACTGAGCCGGGACTCTAGAGAGCCTGCGAGCCACAACTACTGAGCCTGCGCGCCTAGAGCCTGAGCTCCGCAACAAGAGAAGACACCGCAATGAGAAGCCCGCGCACCGCAATGAAGAGTAGCCCCCGCTCACTGCAACTAGAGAAAGCCCACGCACAGCAATGAAGACCCAACGCAGCCAAAAATAAATAAATAAAATAAATAAATTAATTTTTTTTAAAAAGTGAAATGGGAAAAAGTATTGGCAAATCAAATATCTGATAAGGACCTAGTATCCAGAATATATAAACAACTCAACAACAAAAAGACAACCTAATTAAAAGATGGGCAAAAGACCTGAATATACATTTATCCAAGATTTTCAAACGGCCAATGAGCACAAGAACATCATTAGTCATTAGGAAATGTCTATCAAAACCACAATGAGGGGACTTCCCTGTTGGTCCAGTGGTACAGAATCTGCCTTCCAATGCAGGGGACACGGGTTTGATCCCTGGTTGGGGAACTAAGATCCCACATGTGGCGGAGCAACTAAGCCTGCGTGCCACAACTAGAGAAGAGAAAAGCCGCACGCCACAAATAGAGAGAAGCCCGCGCGCCACAACAAGAGATCCCGCGAGCCACAACTAAGACCCGGCACAGCCAAAAAACAAAAACAGAACAAAACAAAAAAATGCAATGAGATACTATTTCACACCCAGTAGAAAGGCAGTGATTAAAACAAACTAACACAGACAATAACAAGTGTTGGTGAGCATATGGAGAAATGGAACCCTCGAACATGACTGGTGGGAATGTAAAACGGTGCAGCTGCTGTGGAGAACAGTTTCACTCTTCCTCAGTCACTTAAAGATTTACCATCAGACCCAGCAATTCCACTCCTAGGTATACACCCAAGAAAACTGAAAACGTGTCCGTACAAAAACTTGTGCACGAGTGTTCGTAGCAGCATTATCCATAACAGCCAAAAAGTGGAAACAACCCAAATGTCCATCAACTGATGAAAAGATAAATACGGCATTTTGTGTATTATTCAGCCATAAAAAGAAATGAAGTGTTTGACACATGCTATAGCGAGGATGAACTCTGAAAAACATTATGCTCAGTAAAATAAGCTAGGCACAAAAGGCCATCTACTGTACAAATCCACTTAGATAAAATGTCCAGGACGGGCAAATCCACAGAGACAGAAAGTAGACTGGTGTTTTCCAGGGGGTGGGGAAAAGGAGTGATTGCTGAGGAGTGTGGGGACCCTTTTGGGGACGTGCAGTGTTCTGTATTTGGCAGTGGTGAAGGCTGGACAGACTTGGGAATAGATAAAAATCGCTGAATTCTACGCATTAAAAGCGTACATTTTATGGTGCGTGAATTCTATCTCAATTCAAGAAATAATACTGCATTAAAATGTTCTAGCTTACTCTAAGGATACGCACATGATAAAGCTGGCATCGCTCTCTGAGCCTGGCGGTACTCACCTAACCTGCTAGCCTAGTAAATCCTGCAGAGTACAAATCTTATTTGTACGTTAACCCAGTTTTAGTGCTTACTGCTTTTCTTTTAAAT